GAGGTACAAATAGGAAAAAAACAAAACAACAGAATCTATGCTTCTTTTTTCAGGCAGGGTCTCATTGTGTAGCCCTGGCTAGCATGGAACTCATTCTGTAGACCAGGCTGCCTCAAACTCACAGAGATCTGCCTCCCTTTGCTGGGATTAAGGGTATGTATTACCATGTCTGGATGATTCTGCTTTTTGATCTAATCTCCTAGCTTGTGCCTTTTTATTAGGGAAATCTATACCAGTAATATTCAAAGAGTAGCATAGTATGAAGATGTAATAGTGGAATACAGAAAGAACAGCCTTTGCTTTCCAGTTACTTAAAGTAAGAGAATACTGATAATACTGTATTCACATATTAGTTATTCTGGGAATCAATATGTGGAAGGGAGAAGGCGAGAGCTAAGAATACTGACTAATAGCACATTGATAGAGGCAAACAATAGAGACAAGGAGAGGGAGGCAAGGCAGCTCTGCCAAAGTAAAATGAGAGAGGAAAACGAATGGAATCCGATAACCTGACCTCCACAGCTCTTAGCAGCCTGAGATTCACAGCCCCCCGCCCCCATACCAGGTCAGAGAATATGCTTTGGGGAAGTCTATCAAATGGAAAATTTAAAAGGAAATAATAGAGAAAGAAAGGGAAAGGGGTGAGGCACACGAGCAGAACAGATCTGGCCTGAAATACTGGCACTGGTGAAGTGAAGGAAGATTAAATATGGAGAGAGCTGAAAGGCTCTCGCAGGCTGCTGCTCCCAGTGCTGCACTCAGTTCCTTCCCAGGCTCTAGACATCAGGACAACCCTGGGACACCCTTTGACGGCTGGGCCGCGGTGCTGACCCTGTCACTGGGCACGTCTTCTCAGGTCTCAGTGCAGATGCTGGTTTTGTTCTCATGGTGCAGGTTGCAATGGTGTCCCTGTGTCCAGGGCACACTCTTGGAAACTATCCATATTCCACAGAGACTCTGGCTGCAACCAGGTTTCCCCTCACAGACCACTTCATGCAGTTCTGATGCAGATTTTTTTTTTTTCCACATTCTAGAGGAAGTCTGTCAGCCAGGTTTTAGCATATAGTCCCATGACAATTGTTCTGGGTTGCCACAGAGTATGGTTCATGGAAGGTCTGGAGCCACTGCTGCCAGTCCAGCAGGAGTATTTTTTTTAAAAAATGGGCTCCAGGATATCTAAAGAGATGGCTCAGGCCTTGAGAGCATAAGGCTTTCTTGCCTCAGCATTTGGTTCCCAGCACCCACATGTGGCTCACAACCTTCTGTAACTCCAGTTCCAGTAGATCCTACATCCTCTTCTGGCCTCTGTGGGTACCAGGCACACACATGGAGCACTTACATACATGCAGGCAAAACACACATACACATCAAATAAGTAAAAATTAAATGGCTGCCTGAACTGGGAATATAGTTCAGTTGCTAGTGTTCCTAGTCTTCCTGGGTTCAATTCCAGCCTCTAACTCCAGCACTCAGGGAGGCTAGGCAGGAGGGTAAATATCAGGAAGTTTCCCCATCAGCTCTTCTCCCTCTGCCACTATGGCACAATGTTTGTCTTCTTTGTCTCCCTCACAATAACTGCCATTTAAAATATCTACTATCATGGGTACAGGGTATGATGTGGATTTTCCAAGGCTCTCTGTCTTACACCCTGGCTCTGTTGTTCCTCTAACTGGAAGAGGAACATTCTCTAGTCCTTCTGGACTAGATCCTGAACTTTTCCTGTTCTGCTTTGTATAAACTCACATTTTATTTTGCTAGTAAATCGAGATTTTCAGCCATTAACCATCTCTTCTGATAGCTATTATTTAACTTTTCCCAATTTATTTCCAGGAAAATTTTGCAGACCTTCTCACTGTATCATATACCATCTTCCAAGAAACTTCAGAACTAAAACAACAGTAATTCTTGAGAGAAAGAGGAAAACCACTATATTCAAATAGATGGGTTGTTTAAAAAAGAATTCATTAATCATTATTTTTTTTCGAGACAGGGTTTCTCTGTGTAGCTTTGGAGCCTATCCTGGCACTCGCCCTGTAGACCAGGCTGGCCTTGAACTCAGAGAGATCCTTCTGCCTCTGCCTCCTGAGTGCTGTGATTAAAGGCATGTGCCACCAATGCCCGGCCTCATTAATCATTTTTACCAATTAAAAAATACATGAAGTGGAGCTGGAGAGATGGCTCAGTGGTTAAGTGCACTGGCTGCTCTTCCCGAGGACTTAGGTTCAATTCCCAGCACCCACATGGCAGCTCACAACTGTAACTCCAGTTCCAGGGAACCTGACACCTTCACATCAATGCACATTAAAAAAAAAAATACATGAAGCATTCCTGACTCAAAAATTCTAACAGATGAGTTAACAAAATGTTAACTCAAACTAAATTAAATCACAGGGAAGAATGAAGGTTAAAGCAATTAATGGGAGAGCCAGCGCCAGCAAGCTTTCTCCAAAAGTGTATGTGTATACATTTAGATTTGTGGAGCATGTGTTCAACATTTTAACTACTCTATAGTTGGATTTTAACTACTCTGTGTTGTAGCACAAACTCTGTCACTACAATGGATGTATGTGGCTGTGGTTCAATAAACTTTATTTACAAAGGAAGATGGTGCTGTCACCCAAGGAGTCTCCTGGGAATAATCCAGAGAAAATTGATTAAAAGATAGCAGAGGTGGATGATTCCTACCTGCAGTAGCAATAGAAACAAACTTCACAGACCCAGATCCATCCTTGTGGGCCTGGCTCAGTTTTGGGAGTGCTAGAGACTCAGGAAATCTGCACAATCCCTTTGTAACAGGTACTTTAAAAAGCAGAGAAAAGGGATCCAGATAAGAGGCAGAGAACAGCATTAGCAAACAAAGATTGTTTTCACTGGGCTTGCAATAGTGTGGGCCATCATTTCAAAAAGACCCTGCTAAGTGGTAGCACTACATACAGCTTATGAAAACAGCTCTGTGAATTGTAAGATGAAACTCAAGGAAAGGGACATGGGAGTGAGCACGTGCAGATCTGGACCAGCAGAATTCTTCCAGACTGTATGAAAAAGCTTTGTGTCTACACTGAAGGAGGTAGCAAATGGATCTGAGCAAAAGCTTCAGGGACTCTGAAACACCCTCTAGGCAGCTCACCAGACAGCGCAAGGGCTGCACAGGGGCAGGGCCAGAGCTGCAACTGGGTAACTGGATACCTCAAGGCCCGGGAAGAGGTGTAACCAGCATCTGAGGGAGACTTTATCTTTGCAGCACTGCCTACTGCCCAGGTCACTGTGTAACCCAGTCCATCAATGGAAGGCCTGGAGGTAAGAACAGCTGGTCCTGGGGGTAACTAGACTTCTGAGAGCCAGAGATGGATTTCTCAGACACTAAGAAGAATCCAGCAAAGTGACAGACAGACTGGGCTGCTTTTGTACTCTGTACCAGCTCTCTACCTGCCACATTTACGCTTGTATTCCTTGTTCATGTTGATGGTGAATGTCCTTCTATATACATGTTTCTCTTACTGGTTGATGAATAAAATACTCTTTGGCCATTAGAGGCAGGAAGATAGGTGGGGCTAGGAGATGAGGAGAGAAATCTGGGAAAGACAGGCAGACAGCCTGCCAGGAAGAGACACCATGTAATGAAGGAAGGAGTAACAGGTTTGGATCCTTCTTTGGTAAGATAAGACCACGTGGAAACACATAGATTAATAGAAAAATGGGTTGATAATTAAGACAGAGCCAGCCAATAAGAAGCCCTTACTTCCCAGCCCTTCGTCTCTACCATCCCATCTTCTACATACATCTTCCTATTATCCTCCTGATACTAATTATTGTGTGTTATTTTGTTTGTGTTCTGACAAATAAAGCTTGCCTGGAGATGAGAGGGTGGAGCTAACCACTAGCTAACCATAGAGGTCTGTACAGACAGGAAGTGAAAAGGCAGGGCAGAGGCAGAATCAGCCCTTTCGGTCTAAGGATTCAGAGAGGTAAGAAGTGACTGTGGCTGTTCCTTTGCTTCTCTGATCTTTCAGCATTTACCTCAATATCTGACTCCGGGTTTTTATTGATAAGACTAATTAGGATCATGCTTCAACTAACCACATCTTACCTTGAGTTATTCTTCCTTCCCACTTTTACCCACAATAACTAATGTTATAACTAATAACTAATGTTTTAGGGTACATGTTACGGTTAAGTGCCTCACTTAAAATGTGGGTGATTCTTCATGCCACTATTACTTTACTTGTACTGTGGGCCTACCCTTTGATAGTGTAGGACTGCAGACAATTCCAATTGAAAGGAAGTGATGGGGGTGGGACAGAGCCTGGCCCCTCACTATCAGTCTAGCAGAAAAATACAACACAGCAGCCCTTCTTCAATCCAGTCTCTCCTGAGCAGTGCAAATGTCTCCTCTGACAGAATAAGTCTCATTTCAAAGGAATAAGTGAAAACATATTTAAAAAAATAATTAAATTCAACCAACCACCTAAATCTAGATGTGTTAGTTCTGATGTGAAAACACAAGTAACATAAAACCAAAAACAACATAACACTTGAAGCCTCACCTCCATAGCCTCTTTCCAGCGCCATCTTGTAATGGCGATGGTTGTCCGCTTGAGCCACTCCCCCTCCTGGAGGGACATGATCTGTGCTGCTCCACAATAAGCAAAATATACTGAATAAAAAGTACTTGAGGCCATTTACTCTACAACCTAGAATGTGACAAGGGTTCTCACTCTCTCTGCTCTTATTCAAGATTGAGATTGGAGTCTTTGAAATAGCAATAACACAATATTTGTTATTCCCTAGAGGCCTGAAATAAATTAAAGGGATATTAGTAAGAAAGCAAGACAAATTATCTCTACTTGTAGAGGACATGCTACAAAAATGATCCAGTGGAATCCACTAGAAGACTCTTGGATCTAATAAATCAGTTGCATGGTTGTATTTGAAGTGTTGAATATGAACTTCATATGAATATACTTCCTTATATAGTAAATTCTCAATTCAATATATTTTACCTGTTAGAAGGGCCATTTGGTATTTTCTGCTGAATAACATGTCTGTGCTTGGATCCAGTGGAAGGAAGAAGATCTGGAAATGTGTTTTCTCCTTCAGGTGCTGGTCCAGCAAAAGCTTCATTTAGTGTGTCTCTTTTGTCCAAGGGGCCCAGGAGTTCTGTTTTATCACAATGAGAAAGATATGAGAAAAATGCAAAAGCAGTCTCTGCTAACTGGTTTGTGACTAACAATTATCATGTGCCCAGTGCAGCTTTGTTATCTGCTATGCGGCATCAGGGAGACAGGGAGACAATTGACAGTTCCTGTCTCTTATGAGTACTGTCATTCTACTTACTTCAGCCAGGGTCACCAACACGCTTCTCAAGATCAAATTTGAAAATTCTCTTATACTTTGCCTTTTCATAGTGCTTTTGCTAACATAATCAATCAACTAACCTTTTCTTACTCAATTGCCATGCTATTTTATTATTTTGGAGTTAGTCTAATATATAGTACATATATTTAAAAGGAAACTCATTTTTTAGATTGTGTGTGTGTATGCACATGCATGTGTGCGTGCGCTTACATGAGTTTATGTACACCACATGCGTGCAGGTGTCAGAGAAGGCAAGATGGTGTCAGATTCCCTAGAAGTGGATTTACAGGTAGTTTGTCAGCCCACTAATGTGGGTGCTGGGAACCAAACCCAATTGCTCTGCAAGAGCAAGGACATACTCTTACCTGCTGAACCATTTCCCCAGGCCTCTAAGACATTTTTAATTTTTTCTTTAGATAAGCATTATTTTAAAATTGTAAGGTAATTAAGACCCGCGTGCAGGTGCATAGATGTGCGTGCATATGCATGAAACAGTGTGGCGTGTGTATGAAAGAGGCCAACATGCGGGAACGGATTCTCTCCTCCCAACAGGCCTCACTGGTCAAACTCAGGCCCTCAGGCTCAGTGACAAGCACTTTGCTCTCTAAGCTATTTTGCAAGCCCCTATTTTCATATTTTTGGTGGCAAGGGAAATCAAAACCAGGGCCTCATGCAAGCTAGGGAAGTGCTCTACTACTGAGCTATACTCCTCAGCGCCAATTCGAATTTTAAAATGCTCAGGAAGGCACACATTTCCATGTCACAAACATGTGAAGATGAGCAGACAAATCTCCATGCCTTCCAGGACACTGTTTAGCAGGTTGAAACATAACGAGGCTATGAAAAGTGGGTTAATCATAAGAAACATAAGTCTTGTGAGAAAATAAAACATTCCCAGGACCTAGAAGCCACTGTCCATGTCGCAGTGTCACACTGTCAACAGTGAGGCCAAACTCTCTGTTTTCTTCTAGCAGTTTTGTACTTTTGGTTCTCATATTTAAAACTTTCGTTATTCTGAGTTTCTTTTTGTACAAGTTATAAGGTAATGGCATAGCTTTCGGTTTTGCATATGAATATGGTTTTCTGGATAGAGATTGCCTTTTCCATTAGTGGTCCCAACATCCTTGTTGAAAACTGTTTGACCATATACCCAAAAGTTTATGTTTGGGGTTTCCATTCCATTTGGGATTCATTGGTTTATGTTTACCTTTGGTTAAGTATCACAATTTTGATTATTCTACCATTGAAATCCAAAAGTGTAACATATCTGCCATTGTCCGTCTTCAGGTTTCCTTTCATTATTCAGCATCTTTTGCACTTTCATACGAACTTTTAATGGAGGGTTGTCAAGATGGCTCAGTAGGTGAAATTGCTCAGCAGTGAGCCTGAAGGCCTGAGTCTGATTCCCTGAGCCCATAGGATGGAGGGAGAAAACTGACTCCTGAAGGCTGTCCTGACTTCCACATGCACACAGATGTAAATGGATAAATACAAACAAAACTTAAGATCCATCTTTGTAGTTCTAAAATATCATCATTGCACTTGGACAGGACTTGCACTGACTAGCCAGTTGCCTTAGTGGTGTTGCTATTTGTCAATGTTTGTCTTCTAGTTCATGAATATGAGATGTCTTTTGGTATCTATCTCTTTTTTTTTTTTCTCTTGAGACATGAGTCTATACATGTTGTACAGACTGGATTAGAACCACTGGACTCAAGGGCCTTCCCATTTCAGTCTTCCAGCTCTTGGGACTACAGGTGTGTGCTACCACATCTGCTCTCTACTCCCTTTCAGCAACGCCCCTCCCTGTTCACTTACTACTTGTGTGCCTGTCCTATTTATGATCTAGTTTTGGCAAGTCGGCATGCACTCACGTAATGCTAGATAAACACCCTCATTTGATGTACTGGGTGTGACTCCCCAGAGGCACTTCTGATCCTAGCAGAGCTGCTCTTTGTTGTGGTCTGTCGATTTTGTTGTTGAATTTTTGAAAGCTGCATCTTAAGTGTCATTAACTTTTTCTTTTGTTATTTTCTATGTTTTAATCTTATTTCCTTCTGCTTCCTTTGGTTTTAATTTGTTCTTTCAGTGGTTTCCACAGACACAAAGTTCAGCTAGTTATTTTAGATTTTCTTTTTTTGTGATGTATATCATAAATCCACATATTTTCACTTTTCTCAAGAAGTTTTAGAATTTTCTTTGTGATTCCCTTTTTGTCTCATTGTATGTGTATTACTTTATTTTCAAATATGTATTTTCCAGTTTTACTTCTGCTACTAAGTTTTGGATTAATTCCACTGTGATCAGTGCTTTAAAAAAGAGAAGATGCTTTATATGATGCATATTTTATTAAAAGATTTACTTAAGGACTGGAGAGTATCTCAGTGGTGGAGCATTGGCCTACTATGCCTGAGACCCTGGTTTTGATACTCAGCACAACAAAGTTAAAAAAAAAAGAGACTTATTTTATGGCCTTAATTTGATTAGTCTTTGAGAATGTTCTAGGGCATTTGACAAGAACGTGTATTCTAGTTGTATGAATAGTCTGTATGTATCTTTTATGTCTACATTTATGGCATTACTGAATTCTCTATCCCCTATTAAAAATTAAGGAAACTATGAATTACTTAGAATTTTATTTTAGTCTTTTTTCCTAGGACAAATATTTAAGCTTATAATTCATATACCAGATTCAGTTTAAAGATGTTTACTCCATAGTATTTAAAACTTATTTTCAGTTATTTATCAACAATGGAAATTGGTAAATATTTTCATTAAATTTTCAAATTATTAGAAAGATGATATATTCTCAGATGTGAAAAGTATATAAAATTCAAATTTCAGTGTCTAAATGAAGTCCTACTGGGGCACAGCCACCATTGTTTATAATACAAAATGTCAGCAGTGTTCACTTGAATAGTGTAATTGAGTCTAACACACTGTTTGATTCTTGATGAAGTCCTTGAACTCTGCTCTGGCTCAAAATATTTTAATTCTTTCTGCTTCCTCCTTTGTGTTTTGAACTGTTTTTATTCTCTTCTATCTTACACATGCTCCCAGGAGAGAAGGACAACAGTGAAAATTCAGGAGACTAGGGTATGAGCCCTCCTCTGATCAGCCACCTTAGTAAAGTCACCCCTTTCCTCACTGTTTGCCAGAAGTGCTAAATTAGCACATATATGTCATAGCATCACTGGGAGGCAGAGACAGGAGGATTGGGAATTCAAGTCTATCTTGGGCCACTCTTTCTCTAGGACAGTAACAGCTCCTGAAATGTGTATAAAATGTATGCTTTCAACAACTGTTTGACTCAAGAGAACTCAGTGCAGGTGCACATTCGTTCCCTGACCTGATTTTTTTTTTTTTATGTGATAAAATGTATTATGGGTCTTTAGGTGAATACAACATGGTTGCACCATATTATATAATCACATACTTTAACATATTTAACAATATATATGTATATACATACATGCATGCAATAACAATTAGTGAAAAAAAGAGGCAATGAATTTGAAGGAGGGTGGAGGGGTATATGGAAGTGTTTGGAGGGAGGAAAGGGAAGGGGAAAATGTAATTAAATTATAACCTCAAAAATAATAAAATACACACAATCTGTAATTATAAGTTTATAGGTGACTACAACACCATCAATTAAAATTTGTAATATTTTTATCTTATAAGATTGGAATATTATACAACTGCCATAATCTGCTATAAAAAATATAATGGCCCTGACCTGATCTTATACACCAGTCTTAAATCTTTTTATTTTGTTGGCTCTGTGCCTTCAAAGGGGCTACCTACCCAGGCCCCAGTATCCAGACAACTTTCAGGATAAAATGCATTTCAAGGTGTGTGATCACATGGAAGAATGAAAAACTTTTATAATCCTGCTTCTTAAACCGACAACTCTACCTAACAGAAGCCATTAAAGTATTTACAAAGTAGTAGCTGCTCTGGTTAGAAACACAGCTTGAGGGGCAGAGGAAGAATAAACAAGCTGCTAAGTGCAAGGTAAGCCATGAACAGTTCTGTGTATACACGGCACAGTATCTAGAAAACTCTCATGTTTACAGAGCAATCATACTGTAAATTCTCAAGTTAAAAGGACACAGACCCAGTAAGAGCTCAACTGTTCACAAGAATTCTTCATAGTGATCTTTTAAACAATTTAGGAAATCCCTAAACATAATCTTTTAAGAAGTGTTAGCCTTTTGGTATGTGCTATTTTGTACTTAGAATGTAGCTGGAAGTGAATGAGGCAATCAGTTGAGTCCTGTGCTGTCATTTTATATATTAATCCACTAATTTCATATTTTATATATGTGGCAAAGATTTGTATTTTCCAAAACTTTTATAGGACTTAATGTTGATCACTGAAAATTACTGAAGAATGAAGATGACGGTGGTATGTACCTTTACCATTCACATTATGAAGAGAGAAAAATCTTGACAGTTACATAAAACATAGGTACTTGTCAAGGATAATACAAGCCTGCTCATTTTATTAAAAAGCTTTTACTTATTGGTAAGGACATTATACTGAAAGAAAAAATCTTCTGGTAGTTATTTTTAAGTATTATATACTAGAAAAGAGCTTGTAAAAAAACCTACACAATTTCATTATTGGATTTTGTGGAAAGGGTAGAATTGTCCCAAACCTTTAAAAATTTTGGCATCATTATTACTCTTTTCTACTTCCAGGCTCATCCTCGATTTAGTTTCTTTACTGCTCTGTGATTAAATATCCCATGACAGCACCTTAAGGAAGGAAGGCTTTGCTCTGGCTCACACTTTAA